AACTAAAATTGGATGACAATAAAGCATTTCACTTTGTTTCATACATTTAATAGTTTCCTGTAGTTTAGTTTTGATTTACAACTCACCATGTAGAGATATATAACTAAAATTAAATTATGCTTATTGAGATGAGATGCCTCGCGAGTACAGTGACCATAATGAGCTGTGAATGTAGTGCTGCTGCCATGTAAAAGAAAAAAAAAAAAAGAAACATTTGGCAGTCCGTATAGTCTCATTGTGTGTTTTGCTGTAATGCATGGATGTAAATAAGAACATCTTTTGTTTCCAAATCTTTACTGCCAAAAAACTTGTGTCCTTTTTGTCCAGTGACACTACAAGAAGCTTAATGCAATGTAAAGAAACTATAGCCTATTTCACAAGCCTAGTTAGCTGATAGGTTTCTGACCCTTTGGAAATGCTTGAGAAAATATTGATCTGCAATTTGCTTTTAGTGCCAAGTTAACCGCTAACTGCAATTACACATATACACATTTTCAATTATCCATGAGTGCTCCACGCACATATCCATAAGCAGTTAACGCACATAGATACTTCCATTCGCACACACACAATATTGATTTTAAATAGGAAACCAGGATGAAGGAACCAAGGAAAGACCGCATTATACAGAGCTTACTATGTTTCCAGAGTTGATGGGTGGGATCTACAGGGACTAAAGACTTACCGTTAAATTGGTATTGCACTTACACCCACACAAAGGCGCCAACCATGAAGGCTGTTTCGGAAAAAACTGCACTTGTCATGGGCGGCAGCAAATCAGGTAAAGCCTACTCCAAAGTACTAATGGATTTTTTTTTTAGGCCAAGGTCATTGTGGATCATCAGCAGTGAAGATGAAGGGTCAGTCAGTCAATGGAGGTGTTTAAGCTCAGGTCAGCAACAGCGAACTACTTCACCAGTGATACAGCCGAACCAACAAAGGGTTTCAGGGTGAGACTAGCAGAGGACGGATGCCTCAAATGGCTTTTTTAACGTACAATTAAACACAAGCTCTCATATCCCCTTGAGCATTACAGAAACATGCAAATTAAGTGGGACTATGTAAATGTTTGATGGTGTCTCATTTCCATGAACGCTGCATACTTTGCCATGTGGCTCCAGGCTCACTGACTCAGACGGCTCACCTGCCCACAGGAGCACAAGTTAATACAACTTACTCTGCTGATTTGATTTTGCTATAGTGTGTATAAGTGCTTGGCTTATCTCAACACTACAGGAAACAAAACCGAATTAAAGCCAAATTATGGTTCTAATGTTATTGTATTATAATCTTGCCTTGGTATTACATAACACTTTACTGCAAGGTGTATGGCTATGTAGCTATAAAGAAACAGGTAAGGAATATAAGTAATGTCTCTGAATAAAAGACAAGAGTATTAGATTATTAAAGAGTTACTTGCAAAACATATTAAACTACATGTTTTGTCCCTGGATATGTGAATTGACGCATCACCTCTTTCATAAAACAGGATTTTCAATGTTCCCTTTTGTCATCAAAACCCTTTAAAACTCTAAAACCACCAATGAATTGAACAAGTATTTTTGTATCCAAAGTCTGATGTATCTTGTTTCCATAAACCTGTTTGTTGTGTACTGACATGAACACATCAGTGACTCATATCGTTTCCCTGGGTGATGTTTCTTTATTACAATGAGCATGGGAACTGAACAGTACTTTGTTATGAGTCAGTCCCACATACACTGTCTCGCTGCCAGGAATGCTCACCAAGTGTGTATTTTAGAGCACCAAATGTGTATTAAACCTTAGCTAAAAATAGTCCCTATTTACTTCTGCTTTGTTAATATTTGCTGGAAAACTACAGTGCCCAGCTGTCTGCTGTTTTAGGAACTCTTCAATTTCAAAGGATTTTTTTCTTTCTTCTTTTTTTTGACGGTGACTAAAGTATTGTATGGATTATTTAGCCAACTTGTTCATTAATAGGCAGATTCCATTTATGTAAAGGATAGAGATAGCCACAGTGATGACAGCCATTGGTTTGTGGATCATTTCAAAGCCCCAAGGTTGAAAGTTACTGCTACTGCATTGTAGTGACACAAGGTTGTCTTACTTGTAAACACACCCTGCTTTATCATATATTTCACTCTAAGTGGGACCATGATTTACTAAATGAGCACCATGTTGTAATGAAGGAGACTTAGAAGTAGCAATTGAGACCATAAATTGATTATTAAGACGTTACCTGATGTAACAAATCACCTGAGAAGTACGGTCATTTCCTCATAGATTTCTACACAATGAGAATTCTTTTTGCTCCCCCGGAGGAGTCACGACCTGCTGGCCATGAGAAAGAATGCAGGTTTTATTGACTCCTATGTTCCAAGTTTTCACTGGTCAAAGTTTCTCAATGACAAACAAGAGAGCAGGATTCTGAAAATACATTTTAATCACTTTACCTAACATACTTAGAGTAACTGTAGAAGGAAAGGGAGGAACCAACACCAGTACTTTCAGGTTCCTAAACCTGCAGCGTGGAACCTTCGTTGAAACATGCCTGCTAAGGATGTTCACCTCGCCAATGATTCTCTCGTTTTAGATTGTGATCGTTCCTGTTAATGTGAAGGGGTTTTTTTTGTTGTTGTTGTTGTTGTTTTCTTGAGTATCAGAAACTTTTCATTGGAAAGCTGCAGGTTTTTTTTAGTTGCTGTAGCCCACTCTGTTGCTAAAGTTACTCCTCAGCTCTGGCAAACCAATCATTGCTGGTTGACAGAAAACACATTGCTACTGGTGCGAAATGTCGACACAGACACCAGATTTAAAACTATGGTATACTTTAACGTTCAGAGAGATTTGTTCGTGATAGTTTTATTCAGCAATATGTAACCTTGTTTGGTGTGAGCTTGAACGTAACAGACATTCATTTATATGTAGAAGTCCTCCAGGTTGGCATGTTAGTCATAATTTGGTTCTCCCAAGTTCAGCCTTACTGTTGTCGCCTTACCATAGGAGGGAAGAGAGCTCCAAAGTTTGAATCTAAATGTGATCATTATGAACACACTCTAAACTAGCAACTGCATTTCCTTTCCGTGCTATTAAATAAACATGGTCAGCTCAGCACAGGCTTCACCCCTGGTCTGCGCCTAATTGAGAAAATAGTTTTGCAGCAGTGTTCTTCGTAAACACCACGCGGGGGGTATCATTTTGGGGTCAGAGAGAAGTTAATGGATGAGAACATCTGTTACGCATTGTGGCGATCGTCATTAGGAGACCGCGGGGGGTGGAGGGTGGTGGCAGTTTGTACGGTTGAAAAGACATTACCATATGCTGTGGCATTCTGATGCTGTTGCGTATGGATGTAACTGCTGGGCCGCTTTCCTGCAACATGGCACAGATTTGCAGATATGCAGACTGGAAAGGGAGGATGTTATTTCGCAGAGAGTTTTAAAATTCAAATTTTTTTTGCTGCACTCTGAGAAATGACTGTTTTACTGCCATGTGACTGCCCTGCCACTATTTCCTTACCTTGAGTAGGGGTCAAAACATCCCTCAGTGTGCAATCAATCAATACCTCCTGCTGTGATTGATGCTTTTAAAGATGACATTTATTTACTGGCTGGCTTTATATATCACTCCCTATGCCATAAGCGCAGTGCCCGTGGTTTCGGGGTTTTCTGGTTGTCATAGGTAACACTCTGAGGACTGTATTTATGACCCATAAGCCCACCAATCCATATATCATACACTTTTTCACTCGCTTGAACAGAAAATAATGAACAGTAACACCTAAATGCACCATCTAGCACATCTGTCATCTTAAAAAGAAGAGCTTAGTGACACAAGGCAGGGTAAAAGTAAATACTATGAGCTATTCCGCTCAGTTTGTTAGTCATTATGCATGCAACAATCTGCTCCCATCTCTGTATATTTAGTTAAACTTTTCCGTGAGTTGGAACGCTGAATGTAGCAGCAGATTTCCGTGAATAAATCTTCTGTTTGAAGCAGATTAATATTCAGAAAGCAGACAACTTGCTACAGCAAATCTGGTTATGAAGATGATGCAACCAATACATTAATGAAGACACCTGTTAGACCTTTTTACCCTGGCAGTAGTTAAATGGGTTCTTACTAGTAGCAAGATATAAATATGTGTCTTTTCATCCCCAAAGTCCAGGACATCAGAGCTACATTGAAAAGTCATTAAAATGTCTTTTTTTTTCCTCACCTCACTACTATTTTGTACAAGCTTTCATGAAGTTAAAAATGTAAAATAATGAACTTGCATATGTTTTTGTCACAGGAAAGTTGATATTTAAATGGATGCATGCTACGAAGCGGAATGAATGTCTCAAAATGTGGCTTTCATTAAAAGCAGCAGTAAATTATTGTCATTTTGGTGGTTTTGGTCATCCATCAAATTGGCAATAAGACTGTTCTCAGTGAGTAAATTGCTTAGATGTGGAAATGTTCTTCCACTGCTATAAAAAAAAAAAAAAAAAACAGTCAGATGGGGTAAAGAGTATAAGGACTGCCTGTCTCCCAAAAATTATGTTCCTAAACAACTAAACCGCATTTTCATTTCTTTCAAAATATTGTTGACAATGTAGTTGAGTTGCATAAGAAGGGAATTTTGTGAGACATGTATGAAAGACGTAATAATTAACCGAACATTAACCACTGCAAACACCCATCACAACATCAACTTGCATTACTCACTGTATTTGTGATATTTCTTATTACTGAGAGGCAATTTTATGCCTTGCTATCATGAACAAAAGGAATGATAGTCAAAATAAGACCCAAATTGTAATTGACTAGAATTATGCTTCAATCCAGGAGCTTTTAGTCTGATTCAACTCCAAATGTCTACAAAGCAATAGCCGTGATTTCAATTTCCACCCAGATAGTGAACATCCTCCTGTGTTCCTATTATGGTTAAATGTATTTAAAATGTGCGATGAAGACATTTCTGTGTAAAGCCACATTTGATTGAAACACTAACTCTCTTTCTTTGTGCTGTCTAGGTGTGGCAGTGCGGAGGGAGCATGGAAGTCCTGCCGTGTGCCAGAGTGGCCCACATTGAGCGCACCAAGAAACCCTACAACAATGACATAGATTACTATGCTAAGCGCAATGCCCTGCGGGCCGCTGAGGTGTGGATGGATGAATACAAATCCCACGTCTACATGGCCTGGAACATTCCCATGAACGTAAGTTTTGCTCAATCTTAGATCACTCCCTCCTTCTATCCCAGGGCTCCCTTTTACCCGTTCTCCTCCCATCTCACTTGTTCATTCAGACATGCAACCCAAGTCTCCGGAGACACCAGTCAATAGAAATTCAAAATTCAGATTTCATCCCACTTGACCTTCACACTGGCAGCACAGCAAAGGCAGAGCAAAGAAAGCAGTGGAGTCTCGCTCCAAACAGATGAGAGAGGTGCACCAAGTGAAGGAGCCTCATGTCTAATCAGTCTATTTTCATACACATCAGTTTAGCTTAATTGCTTTCAAGGGTCTTTCGAGATGGGCTGCAAAATAATAAACAGCTACTTTCATTAATAAAGAGTTTAATATTGAATCCTAATTGCCTCTTCAGGCATGCAGAATGAGATGATTGTCAGTGAAGGACATCAAGGAAGGCCTCCAAACGCTGGCCAAAACAGCACACCGATGCTCATAACAAAATAATAACCGGCTGCGTGGTTGTCACGCTCAGGTCTGATGTGCTGCTGATGGCAGCGTGTCTTGTAGAAACGTGGCCCAAAAATCATTGTGACAGAACTCAGTAGGTGCAGGTAAGAAGTGCCAACTGGGGAAAGGTTGTGTGTGTGTGTGTGTGTGTGCACCATAAAGGAGTAGTGGGGATGGGGTTAGGAGGCGGAGGGAGGAGGGGGGTGGCAGCAACTTTGACAAACTAGCCAATCAGTCCACATCCCTTCTTGAGTGTAATTACACACACAGTGGCATGGCATGTTATTACCCCAGCTGTCCTGTGGCGCAGAGTTATTTTGTGTACAGTACAAAGACCTAACGCTACGATTATTCCCACCAGCCCCACCCGCCTCCCTCCCTCCCCCTCCCAACCTGCTCGCACACACAATCACAGATTCTTGTTATTGTCGACGGTACCTGCTGAGAGCACAATTACATTGGTCGGGGAAGGCTTTATGATTCACCACAGTGGCCAGCCCCGAGTCCAACAACATCTCTCTGAAATTTAATACATTTGTTAGTGTCGCTTTATGGTGGCCAAAAAAAACAAGGTGGATACTTCCAACTAGAATTCATTATCAACAGATGTTGGAGGCAAGTTCAGCAGCTGACTATAGACTCCAGCAGAGAGGGAGGCTGATGAAAAGTATTTGCCTTGAAGCATTGTCTGGTAATAACACAGCTGTGTGTGTATGTGTGTGTGTGTGTGTGTGTGTGTGTGTGTGTGTGTGTGTGTGTGTGTGTGTGTGTGTGTGTGTGTGTGTGAGTGAGTGTGAGTGTGTGTGAGTGTGTGTGTGTGTGTGTGTAATGTCTATGGGAAGATGACTGTCCTCTATATGTGTGCGGCGTATATTATTTACTATGACTCTATATGTGTGTTCGTTTACATATTTATGTACATTTAAACAGTGCACTGTATATGCACATACTGATATGGGCTTTGCGTGTGTGTGTGCATCTGAATCAGGCCTCAGTGCCAGGCGGTGCAGCTATTAGGCATTCCCCCAATCAATCTGGGAAGCCACCTCCATAATGCAGACATGGCCGTGAGGGCTCATAATTAAGCAGCTGATTAGAATTTGCTCAGCACAGATCATGTCTAATGAAAGAACAATGAAGGTCCCACAAGACAGGTGCATCTATCCATCTCTTAACTAAACGCTCATTGCGTCCTCTCAGCGCCTCAACACTCTTGCATCTCCCATCTCACCAGGAGCTAGCACTCTAGTAAGTAAAGTGCCTGCTGGCTAAGGGTTTTTTGTCTTTGTTGTGCACCATTTGTTGACAGAACCCTGGGGTTGATTTCGGGGATGTCTCGGAGCGCCTGGCCTTAAGAAAAAGGCTGCAATGTCGGAGTTTCCGCTGGTACCTTGAACACGTCTACCCGGAGATGCGGATCTATAACAACACCATCACATATGGCGAGGTGAGAACAATACTTCCTAAAAAGATTACTGGAAACAAACTACATGTTAATTTTGCCATATCACAATCTGTAATAGTGTTATAGATGATGTTATAGAGTGGAGCTGTCATTTAAAGAGGATGCAAACACTGAGGCTGCTAATGTGATTCCACAAATGATAAATGCAGAAAATGATTCAGTGAGAACTTATTAGGATGTGAGCTGGTCATTATCAAGATCTTTTTTGTAAGATAACATTGAAAAAAAATAATATATGGACGTCAGAAGCGTGTCGATATCTGCTTTAGTTTGTACAAAACAGCGAAGGTAAACGTATCTCGTTGCTATAGCAATGCAGCATCACCGCACAGGATTAGATGCAATTTCCTCATAATGAGTTTTAATTAAACACTTATTAGTTTTCCATTCCAACTTGATTGTTTGGGGCTTGGCTTCACACTTAGCACAGTGGGGGGAAGAAAACAGGATTATGACAGGTTGAAGAATTGAACACACTCCTGAGTCAGATGCTACTCGGAGCTTTGCAACTCCCCGTTTTTCCTCATATCAGTTTCAACCATGGAAAAACAATGGAGAATCAATATGCTCTGCATGTCAGAATACATCAGAATTAACCTCTAGACTCATCAAAGCTGTGTGAATTTACTCCCACCTTTGTTTCCTCCGCCGTCTGTTTTGGCTCCGGCTCCCAGCTAATGGATTCCTCAGAGCGACATCCACTTAAGTGGCACTATTTCAAATCTGTCGACAAGCTGGGAAACAGTTACCTTGTGTTGCCACACAGCCACCGCAGCAGAAGTGAGTCTCATCTGTCACCGAACATCAGCGCCGCGCTCGGCCATGCTGACCAGACCAGCCGAGTGGAACGTTCCCTGACAACAGCACATGATAGATATGTCACAACCTGGAAATGAAGCCATATGCATTCAAATCAAACAGTACCAAAGCTCGTGCTCAATGCACACCATCATCTGGAGGCCTGGAGGAGAGGGAGAGACAGAAATAGGACTGGTCACTGCAAGATGATATCCTAACATGGCCCAGGCATCACTTTGAGATAGTTTAAAACTGTGGGAACTGCTGTGTGAGCAAGACATAATGGACAGGAGGCAGTGTAACAAGCTCAAAGGAATCACATGATGGGTCAGATTGATTTGAGTTCAGAAAACTCCTTTAAAAACATGTTAATATGCACAAATGAATACCGATATGTATATGTTTGGGTTACAGCAAACCTCGGTCGTTATAGTGCCATTATCAGTTGCACCCTGTTTTCTCTGCTGCTTTTCTCGGCGCAAAAGAATTGTTTTCTCTGGGTTGGCCTCTCTTTTCAAAGTACTACAGCTGAAAGTGAAGAGTGAAATAAGTGGTGCAACAATAACTGCAAGACAGAGAAATTCAAAATGCTTCCTAAAAAAACCAAGCATTAGCAACGTTCTCGTGGCCGTATACTTTTCTGCCACAACCTGCAATCTTTTCTTCTTCACTTCACACTTTCTGCCTAAAGAACAATTTAAAATAAAACCTGAATTAATAGATTTTTGCCACTTGGAGCAGAAACAAGCTGTAAACTGCAAACTAATACACATCCAGCAGATCCAGAGCAATGTTAGCATTCATTATGAGAAGCGTTTGTGTTCATTCAACAAAGGCCAATTGTCCTTTATTCACTTTCATGTTAGTTTTTGGTTTACCAACTACCAAGGGAGCTATCTGACACTTTAGCTGCTAAATATGTCACTATGTTGGGGGGTTAGCTGCTAACTTTGTCTATCTGCTGAGGCAGATAGCATGTAGTGGGCATATTAAAGCTTTTTTTTTTTTTTTGCAGAAAAATTGCCTGCTGTGTGTTGAAATAAAGCTGATAAAGAGGTGAAAGGGATGGACGAAAACAGTGAAGCTGTCAACTGTAAATTTAGAGCCTTAATAGTGCTCTGTGGGCTTCTGCAATATGTCCCAATGAGCTCTGAACAGCATCTCCTGTGCTTTTTCTTTCAGGTGAGAAACAGCAAGGCCAGTGGCTATTGTCTGGACCAGGGCTCGGAGGACGATGACAAAGCCATCCTGTACCCCTGCCACGGCATGTCCTCCCAGGTCAGACCGCACTTATCAGCTGTTTGTGTTTCTACGCCGACTGCCGTGTTCATTAAGCAGCCGTGTTCATCAGTCAATAATGCAATTAGTAAAGCTGTCAGTCAGCGCATTGTATTGATTGTTCTGAAGACAAGCGTTATTACAAGTGTTATATTTCATATTTGATTTCCTCATTTCGCTCTCTGGAAAAAACAAAAACAAAATACTCATAAATACTTGTCGGTTTGTGAATTGACGTATTCTGCATCTTTTACCTCTGGAGGGCTCTCCTCAAGACCATGTGGTGCAATTAGTTTCCTCGTAAAGCCCTGCAGGAGTTAAATCAAAATTTTTATATAACAAGTGCTAGAAGCAAATGTGTTCGGGACAGATAGATGTTTGCCTAACTGCTTCCCATTTAACAGAGCTATTGACTCCTACACACATCTCTGCTGGAGCTTTTAAGTGATCCTTCTTTACAAAGTATGTTGGTGGTCGGTAGTACTACATTAAGATGTACATGAGGATACTCGTGTGTGAGCTAACAAGATGTGGATGGCACTTGTAAAGGCCCACACACACCCACATGGTGCTCTTATTTTTAATAGCTGAAGTTGGGTTAAATAGGGCACAGAATTCCTGAAGGCATCCAGACTTCATATACATGAGATGGTGTGTTACCGTTACATGATAAAATGGTACCATCAGTTGGGTGAAAGCCAATGCTGTGACAGCCCAGTATTCATGCTGTGGGATGTTTTGATCGATCATTAGGTTCTGAAATTAAACCAGCATAACATTCAACCACTAAAACAATTTTTTTTTGTTCAGAAATGCAAGTAAAAAACTACAATTTGACATCTTAATCAAGAAATAATAATGTGCTTTATTATTTTTTCTTTTTTTTTTTGTAAAACAGTAAATTGAAAATTCATGAAGAACAATAATAATTATATTTTAGCATTGAAAGTATAAGTTAGGTTAAAGAACTTCTACATACTGGTGTATTCACCATTAAAGAAACATAAGAAATGATTTTGGTAATTACCAATGCTGTCAATTTAGGGCAACTGTGGCATATACCCTACATAAGCACTGAACATTGAAGATGCCTTTGAATCCCATACTCACATCTGCTGCACAGAATAACACCTCGGAATCTTTGCCCAAAACTGGTCCTACAGATCGGATAAACAACCCTAACTGCTCCTACAACTTCATCTTGCCATTACCCACTGCGTTGTCCACACACCATCACTGTTTGTCTGGTTCCACTTGTCCCACCAATGGTGACTAGCTAGCAACACCACTGGCATTACGAAATTATGTCAATATGTATTTGTGTGAAAGAATTCAAGCAACTGTGTCAGTGTGCATCCTCTTGGATCCCCAACATCAAGGACGCTAGACACAAGCAACCAGTACTCACTTTTGACTACAGCTTTGTCACCTACCATCAACTAACAGAATTTTCTCCAATAACAAACCAGCCCTCTGTTCAACCCACCAGCAACAACTACACAATCATCTTCCGCTACCATGTTACGTCAGTTATTCTGTATTATTATATTCAGCAGGCTTCCGAAAATTAAAAGACACTCTGGCAAAAATCATGAACCAAGAGGTCCAGCGTGGTCTTTTCCCACATCTATATGATACATCCTCTAAATGTGTGTAGGTGTGACCTTATTGTAGGGTCTCAGGAATTCAATACACATAAAGAGATATGTAAATAAAATCTATACTGCCTATGTAAAAGTAAACATCATGCAGATTTCTTCAGGTTTCTGCAATGAATATTTGCATTCTAAATCAGATCGATATTTAGTTTGACCTCCCTTTGTAGCAGCACCAAGCTAGCTACTTGGCAGCTTGGTTGTTCTGAGCATCTTAGAGAACTTTCCACAGTTCTTCTGTGGATTGAGACTGTCTCAATTGCTTGGGTCTACTTGATCCCACACAGACTCCATAATGTTGAGATCAGGGCTCTGCGGGGGACACGCCATCTGCTGCAGGATTCCTTGTTCTTGTTGTTGCCGAACACACTTCCTTATGACTCTGCTGTGTGTTTAGGTGCTTTGTCCTGCTCCAGAATCAATTTGGGACCGAACAGATGCCTTCCCTGAGTTTACTGCGCGATAAGAATAAGAATCTACAGGGGCCTAAAACTCTTGCATATACAGTGCGATGTGTATCCGCGTGCAACAGTCACACTAAAGAATGACAAGGCTGCCTTTTGCCTTCCTGTCCTATTTAATTATCGTTTGAATCGCTGGCAGAGTCGATAAAAATTCTAAACAGATTCTGGGTATTACAGTTGGAGAGTATTAAATGAGATGGAAATGCAGACAAATGACAAGTGAAGACTGATTTAAAAAGTCAGAACATCAGTCAACAGGCTCATTTACAGTGCTGTCAAACACAGTCTGTCTGCATTTCAAGCTAAATGCATAAAATGACAAATTATAGAATACGTTGAAATATACAGGCTCTTAGGATCAAATAGACAGGTATAAATGTGAGACCCACAAGTTGAAAATCTGCCTTTTTTTTCCTAAAGTGCAACTAGTATGAGGTTTAACGACTGTTCTCGTTCTGTTAAAATCACATTGTCTTTGATTCTTTAATAAGCCAGTTTTTAAAAAAAAGAAGGCATCACTCTTTATTATTAAGGCTTGTTTTGATTTTGGACTATGTGAATTTGCTTTTATATTATTTTGAGAGCAGTAATCGATAACCATTTATAGGCTTTTTCCATCTTCATTCATTGTCATGTCATCTGTTAGATAGTGCAAATGAACAAATTTTAAGTAAAGGAATTTTTAAACAACTTAATTTGAGGACCAAACAAGAAGAATGTAATCTACAAAATCAATAAAATAACTCTTTTATTCTTTTTTTTTAAGTCTTTTATAGAAGGTAATAAGAAGAGCATGGACATAGAGTAGTGGTTTGTTTTTGTTGTTTTTAAAAGGAACCCAAATTGGAAAGTATATGTTTTTTTTTTAGATTAGACCTCACTGGCAGCATTTGTTTTTTCAGCAACAGTAAGGGAATGCACAGTATAAGGCTCTTGGGAGGCTGGTATTAAACTAAACCAAATCACACAGCATCATGATCATTTTAAATGTGGTTAGGATATGAAGGAAACACTGGAAAACTAGGGCACTCCCAGGTGAGAGTGTCTGTAATTATATGAATATGCAGTGTGTTGCAGCTGAAAAGAGAACACGTGTGCTTACCTTTATTTGAATAGATACCAGAACGAACGACGCTGTCCTGCTTTTGTGCTTATTTTTCTTTTGCACACCAAAACCAAAGCCAATCCTGAAGGCAAATCATGCAAATGCTATTCATGGACACCCCCCCCTCCAACTTTCCTAACCACTTCTTTTGCTTGTGAGTGACATGTTCATTATCTGTCATTGGAGGGGTATTAGAGGGAGGCAAGCAGCTCGCCGGCCTCCACTCCAGAGAGCTCCGTGGGGTCCAGTAATGTAAGGCTCCACTGACTCTTTTAATCCCGAAGCCCAAGGGAAATAAACAAATGGAGATGAATTTTGTGTCTTTGTGTCATTTGATTACAGCGATGACTGACATTACTGTGAGCGGGGCCCAATTCAATTTCGTGGGAGGCTGTGATTTTGCATTCCTTTTTACCATTGCTGCTTTTACTTATGAAAAAAAGAAGGAAAAAAAACTTAATCGGACAGAATAAACCTTTTGCTTCTGAGCAATGAGTCTCTCTCGACTGGCTCTCCCTATGGAAATCTAAATCATGAATAACGTCTCACCTTTGTCCAGCAGCACAATGCAGTGAAAGCCCGGTTGGGGAGCTACAAAGCCTTCACCATTGCTCTACTCACATACATGCACCCCTAGATGTAGTCTGTTAAAGCAAATGATGCTTTTCCTCCCTCCCCTTCGGACAAGATCTGAATGTAGCCCTTTTCTTTGTCTGTTCAACCACACCGGCCATTAATCTTCATGGTAACCACTAATATACACGAGAACAGCAGCCAAAGAAATAACACAACGTTTCTGTAGGAACTCACACTTTTGTCCGGATGATGAGAATGCACGGTGGCAAAATGTGATGCAAGTTTGAAAGGAGGAGGCAGGATTAATGAGCCCCGGTAATCTGACATCTCCCACAAAAAAAAAAAAAAGGCAGAATATCAAGCTCCAATGCATGTGGAGGTGGTTGTTTTGTAGCAGCCCAGTGTCATTTGCATGCGATTTTAATCAAAGTAAACACCAGCGGACAGCCTCGCGTAATGGCGACGCGCTTCAGAGCAGCATCTCTCTGAGAGGAGGCTGCGGATTTATCAACATATCTGTCCTGCTTGCCTTCAGATGGCTGGAGGGAGTTAATGAACTGGGGGAGAAGCTTTTCACACAGTATAAAGCAGCTGTGCACAACAGATAGTGTGAGAATGACCCACATTCATTTATAGATGAACGCGGAACGATTTGCCGTGTTTTCTTTTTTTTTTTTTTTTGTTGCATCGACCACTTTAACAGAGTGTTTGATAAAAATAGTTTTTTTAAATATTGAACACTGTTGCATTATTGCTGTACATTTGCTTCAAGTGAGTAGCTCAAGATCACATATTCCTGAGACTATCTGCTATTTCCAAGCTTCACCAGATTACCAAACTCAAAAGATTCTCCTTCATGGCTTGGCTCCCACAAGGAATCCGAGCTATGTATGGTGCACTCGGGCGTGCATGGTGCTGCTGGTCGCCTGCTGCACCACTTATGCTAAAGAGCTTCTTAAGTCTCTCATATATAAGTTTGTAAAAGAAGCTCACTCAGACTCCCATGCTGCACCACACTGTAGTCACATGTGCTAACTGCACAGCTGAGGCCTCAAGTCAAGCCCCTTCTTAAGACTTGTGCCATAATCTGAGGCGTAACTTCTTGGTGGCGCAAGGTACAGCAAAGGTATAAATGCAGAGATTACAACCCAATGTACAAATTCTTCTATTTACATCATCACAAAGACAATTGGAGTTAATTAGGAAAGCTGAAATTAGCTTGACCTCCAAAAAATACCTTTTACGAGCGCCAGAAGGCAATGGAGCGTCTAATGGTGCCGCACGAGGCGCAGGTTAATTGGCTTGGCAGAATCATTTCCTTGTGTTAATTATTTGTTATGGTCTCATTTTAAATGTATTAGCGTATTGAAGGCTGCCAGACTGAGCTGTAAACAGGTATTAGTGTGGATTATGTGGGTTTTTCCTTGTGCCCAGTCAGAGTTTACACCTTGGTTAAACCAGCTTAGAGCGCTATAACCTCGAAAGACCCCAGACAGCTAGACCAAATTCCATGAAGAATTCGTAATGAAAATGCCTGTGATAATGACCTTTAGGCTGCCACCTCGTGAAAAATGGCAGCATTATGTGTCTCGCTTTCGACTGAGTTTGAAATATGTTTATGTAAATTTCTGCCATTCCTTAGTCCAAAGGATTATATTTATCAGCATCCTTGTGAGCAGCCCATCCAGCTCCGGTGAACCTTGAGTGACACGTAAAGTGGCGCTTCATTCTTTTCCTATTTGTTCTGAGTGGCTCTTTAGGGCAGAACATTGGATTAAAAAAAAAACAAAAAAAAAAACAGCATTCTCTCTTCTTACAAGGTGAAACACCCACACAGACCACTTACTGCAGCTTCCCTGTCCAGGCTCCACTCAGACAAAGTTATGTGAGATGGAGAGATTTTTACATGCTAAAATTGTTCGATGAAAGTACTTGAACACAGACTATCAGCGTATGACCAAAATAATAGGTTTGCATGCTATTAAATGTGAATCTTAATGGGATTCATTTACATTTTTGTAGCGATGGGTAGTTATAATGGCCTGCTTTTGCAGTATAGGGTCAGAAATGTGCTTATTTTCATCTAATTTTCTTAGTCGCACTGTCAGATCGGCTCTTCTTCAAGATTTCTTCAGAAGAAAATACGTGGCATGTTTTTGCATCAGTATCATTTTCAGCAGTCTGAACTCTTTGATTCTGCAGGACTGTTGTAACACAGGTACTGACTCTGTACTTTAACAGCATGTGTGTGCGATTCAGGACAGTCAAAGCAGGGCTGCTATCTTTCCAAAGACCTCCCTATCTTTGGCATCTCATTTTTCAGGGAGGATCACTCCCATAAATAATAAATGCTATCTCTACTGTATCCTTACGTAACAGATACGTATCGCTACAGAGCCTTTCATGTGCAGGATTAAACAGTGAGGGATCAAGTTTTGGTTTGGGGAAATATTGTGGCATTAATGAGCTGTGGTTTGCGTGCGGTGCTGCACACGGAACTTTTCAACAAAACAACATGGAATAAGGACACAGTCTGTGTTTGAATGTAGGAGGTTTCACAGAAAGGTCAAGGCAAAATGCAGCAAACCATGTTGTTAAAATCGGGTCTAACTTTGACTCCTTGACATCTGCTTCAGCATATGATATCCTGAATTTAAATGTTTTGTGAAAACAACATCGTCAATTTGCAGTTAAACAGATCTGAGGACTACAAAACTGCAAACCTCGGCTTCAGAGACCTCTGCGTCACTTATGCTAAAGCAAAAAAAAAAAAAAAGATATATATATAAAGCTGAAACTCCATGTATTTGTTAATTTTGTCCTCGCTAGAAATTATTTTGTTATACCACAAAACTAAATCCAGTCAGAGTTCAGTGTAATTTTGGCACCTGATTTGGATTTAGTTTTTGTCTTTTGACAAACGTGTATTAGTTTAATTCAAATTTTAGTCATGTGATTTTTATTAATTTTAGTCAGCAAAAACCCAAAACATCTAAGTCTAGTTTTTATCAATGACATTTTAGTCTAATTTCTGTGTTTTTTTTTAAATTTATATAATCTGATCACTTTGTGGCCACATCTATTGCCGTGTTTGTGTACAGTTGCCATGGTTACCAGTGTTATTCTCATCTATGGCTCAGTGTTCACATCCTTCTGCTCTGCAGTGATACAACAGACAGACTCACCTCAGTAAATCCAGTCAGTGTTTTCATTTCTAAACCCTGAACCAAACTGAAAGTAATGTTAATGTTATTTTATAATCAGCAGTGTTACATTAATGTTAACTTACCTTTATATAAATGCTGGTTGCTCGCTGTGTGCTTCTTGTTCATAAGCCTATCAAGTTTCTTTCAAAAACTGTCTGGCCACATGAATGCCTGACACAATATGTTCCTGAATGTAAGGAGCTTTTTATTCAACAGCAGCGCCGTCAATGAACAGATTAATCTACTGGGCGAAGTTGTAGACAGTTCAGGACACTTTGCTGCAGGGTGTGATTCCTCAGATGCTACAGTTCACTGAAAAACACTTTGCATAAAAACAGCGATCTGTTCTTCTGCCCATTCATCCATCTGGGAATTACATCAACAGTTTGTATTTATTGACTAAAAACTAAAACATATTCGTTTTATTTAGTTTTGGTTTCATTTTTGTGATTAAACAAGTAGTTGTCAACCAAAACTTTGCATCATCCTTTTCATCGACCATAAATAACACTGCCACAGTTAAATAATACAAATAAATAGAGAATAACATTTTAGTTAACTCTTCTCAGGGCAGCAAGCTTACCATATCTGTTGTCTTCTCAGTTTTTGATGCTTGTCAAATTTATGTTGCAGTTACACTAGTTCTCAAACTTTCTATTTCAAATGAATAGTACTTATTGTTTTAAATTGGAGATTCCTTGAATTCCTATGTGGCATGTGCTGTAAATAAGTAACAAAAAAAGCTGATAGAAATGTGGTATTTGTTGGTCAATTGCTGGTCAATTGGCAATTTTTCATTATTATTTGGCATTTTGCAGAAGAGATAGACTGAAATATAGTAAAGACAGACAAACAGCAATGCAGGGATGCAGCCAGTTTAGGCATTTCAGCCTTGTTCTGGTACAGTTTGTGTCCTAACCATCATCAGATCACACCATGTCAGATATTTTGAGGGGTAAAATGCAAATGCGTAAAACAACACTGAAGTTATAACAATCTATCTGGTGCACAATCTGCCAATCAGCCCGAAAACCTCAAACCTCTTTTTTTTTTTTCTCCATCTCCGCTACCTTTGTAGTTTCTGCAGCCTGTCTTTGTTGCACAGAACTGCTAAACAGCATCACAGCAAACCACGTTCAGTCACATTTCCACACTGAAGCACATTTCAGGGCTCATGCTTTCCACCGATGCCCTCTAAAAAGTTGAGTGTTTGCTATTTGAAGCTACTACAGCGCTGGAGTCTGGCAGCGTAACACATCATTTAACTCTGTGTTGCAGCTCGCCCGCTACTCCACGGAGGGGCTTCTCCAGCTTGGACCCCTGGGGTCGACCACCTTCCTGCCTGACACAAAATGCCTCATTGATGATGGCAGAGGACGTACTCCCAGCCTGAAAAAATGCGATGCTGTCTCGAGGATTTCCCAGAGACTGTGGGACTTTACACAGGTAAAAAAAAGAAAAGACATGATCAGATCTTTTGACACTGATCTTCATCACTGGGGCACTTCACATTTAATGGAGCATAAAGTAAGAGAAGACAGTCATGCATTATGTACAGAATTGATATCATGACAGGAATTAGAACCAACCATCTGTTTCTCTTGTAGGTTACTGTGCAAATTTACGCTTATTTTCCTGTGTTTTTGCTGCAGAATGGTCCAATCATCAGCAGGGACACTGGTCGATGCTTGGAGGTAGAAATGTCCAAAGACGCCAACTTTGGCCTTCGTCTGGTGGTCCAGAGGTGCTCTGGTCAGAAGTGGATGATACGAAACTGGATTAAGCATCCCAGGCACTGAAGCCAGCAGACAATCCGAGACATTTTGGGCAATGGTTGAAGACGCAGTTGGATCTCTAACTGTGGACAGTTCAAAAAGGAGCAGGGACCGGTGGTGCTAGTGTGTGCTATTTCACACTACAGACTGCACAGCACACTGAGCTTCCCTCAGGCCACAGAGCTTTCCAACACTGAGTCTTAAAGAAGAATATGATCAATTCATGTGTCCCACTGAGCTGCGCGTTCACACCAGACCTTACGGCAAGCTGCACTGTTTGAAATGGCCCACATTTCTGACATTCAGCTACATGTATAGAACAAGTCACCTGGGTGCAGCGTCTCAAGGTGGTCTGACATGTCAGTAATTATTTTGTTTCTACTGTAAAACTGTCAGATGTTTGGGGATGACAAAGGCCGTGGGTGCGTGTGTTTTTTTGATTTTTTTTTTTTTTTTTCTGACTGCATCTGAGCAAATCAGAAGATGTAATTGCCATCAATTACCACATTAAAGTGATTATTTTGGGCTGCGATTTGGAAAATTGCTTTGGACATATTGTGCTGCCCTGACAAGACATGTAATAGGCTTCAAACAGGCTACCCATCATCAGGTCGGGAAACACTTCACCTGCACTCACACAAACCACTACAGTTCTTTGTTTCTTTGGACCGTATTGCTCACTGTGGACAGGAGCAATCATGTGCCTTTTTTTCCTCATTTTTCTGCTTCATCTGACCAGGGAATGTCAGTCCCACAAGCATGTACAAAATTATTTGAAAGTTATTAATATATAAAACAATGTATAAAACAGTCTAATGATAGTAATATATTGTAAAAAGTGAAAAATTGATATCCGTCCTCTGATAACAATTAGGATAATAAAATCATTTTTATGATGAGCCGCCTCTCCGTTCTTCTCTTTCCAAGGCTTTATCAGTTCAGTGAATTTGATGTCAACATTCGCTTCGCTGTTGTACTTGCCCGTGTGTTACATCAAAACACACCTTTTTCTTTTGTACTATTGTAAAGCCAGCTGCTAACAACAGCAGTACAATTGCCTGCCTTTCGTTGTGCCTGCTCTTACAACCACCTCAAGCCTCCATCAGGTTTGTGGCCATGTGCACTGTAATTGTTCCAAACCACCCACTGGATAGTAGGTCTTCAGAAAGCACAGAAAGCTTTCCAGTGATTGTGCTCAGGGAGAAAAAAAACAACTTTTTTTTTTTTTCTTATTTTCTGCCAGCAGTGTGGCACATTTGGAAGAATGATTTCAGTATGTGTGTCTTTTGATGTGCTGTTGGCATACGGTATAAATTTAGATTTAACTCTGAATGTCAAAGTACTTCCAAAGACATTTGTTGAAATGGTAATTTTTTATTTTTTAATGATGTGATGGATCAAGGTTGAACTAGGAACTAGGTTGTGGGTTTGAACCTTCTGGTCAGCTGGGGCCTTTCTGTATGGAGTTTGCATCTGGTGCTTCAGCTGCTCCCACAGTCCAAAGAATTGATTGGCAATTCTAAATCGCCCATGACCACTTGGTGTAGTCAATATGCAATGGACTGACCACCTCTCCAGAGTGTAGCCCGCCTCCCTCCTTTATATCAGTCGGGATAGGCTCCATCCCTGTGCGACCTGGCTAATGGTTGGATAAAGGATATAGCGTATCGACTGCACCAGAATTGGAAGATTCTGCACTGGTCTCATACATCCTCTAGTGACCAGTTATAAGAGGATCACTGGGGCGAGCAGCCTTCACCTCAGTCTCAGGAGAGTATCATGTATGCCTCCATCTAATGCATATTTTGGTCATGTTTTACTGGATTCACATTTTCAAATGATCCAGGTGGAAACATCGCAAACTCAACCTAGGTGGAGGGCTTTCACTTTGTTCATGGAGCTACTGTTTGTTGCAGCTAAAATCTCTCAACAACAGTTATCATTTGCTAATAAAAATTTATTTTTTATTTTTTTGTCTATGACTAAAAATAATGATTGTTTGAAATGATTTCAAGGGTTAAAAATCTACATCATGAACTGTATATGTGTAGCAACAGTAACCACAGTAAGGTGGACAGGGCTCTTAAAATAGTCTGCAGACCTTTAACGTGGAAGATAGTTTGACTTTTCAAAGTAAGAATAACAAAGGTGTTTTATTGACTTCCAGTCCTGTTAAAGCCAGAGTAGGCAGTGTTTTTCACACGATCACGTAAAAAAAGAAATTCCATACTAACTTTTCAGTATATTGTAATTCAAGTGGTCTGAAAAATTAGACTTCTACACATCCTCCTGGCTCTGTTCTCTGGCTTTAGAAAATCTAGCCCATGACAGGAGATTTTATCCAATCACAGAGCCTTTCGCCCAGATCAGGTGAGACAGCCTAAAGTAAGAGCAGTGTGTGCTGGTGCGTTGGGTTATACGGAAAAGCTGCGTTTAGACTCCAGAGTGACGTCTCGAAAGAATTTCAACTTTTGGCTTGACTATTTTTGCAGGACTGAGGTGGGCGCTCACCTGATGGAAGGACCTTAGAACAGTGAGAGAAGAGCTGCAGGATGAGGACTGTACATTTTCAATTTGCACCTTTTTTGTTTAGTTTTAGTTCTTTTTAAAAATTTCCTTGTCCAGATTTCTGCTTACTGCACCTTTAACTACAACAGTGAGCCAAGCATGCCCAGGACAGGGTCCCTGTAACTGGCTCAAATGGAATCCAGTCATTTTTAAATTGTGCGAATTACACGAGTGCTTTTTCTGCAATGAATCGCCAAAATGTCTACAGCGGAAAGGGTCTACTGACTACTGAAAAAATAAAATGTCCTTTTTCCAGTGAGCTAAAGTTGCAATAATGACATCAATTTTCTCATTGGTAGTGGTAAAATGACAACAATGAGAATGAAAAACCTGACTTCCCTTCCTTTCAACATAGATATCATACACTGGGCAGCAGGATGTGAGCTAAAAAAGTGCTGTCTATCCTAAAAGCTGAATACATTTGTAGCATTCACAAGAGGCTTCCTTGTGTGTCCAATCTATTTCTCTACTATCCTCCAGCCCAGATATACTGTGCATTTTGGGACGCAATGGGAAGTGAAAAGTCCTTTTTACTGAGGTTCGCCATGCTATCCAACCCGCATGTTCCAAAGGCCTATTTTAATTTGGTTTCCAGCTGGTTTACCCTGAGAGATTGCCTGCACTTGCCACCATGTCATGCTTCTTTGCCTCTAATCATTTCATATAAGCAATGCATCATCTGTGTGTCCTCTAAACGAAGACCGCTCCAGCCCTCCCAAGGTAATATCTTATTCTGGTTTCCGACAAGGTTTACAAACACACTGCTGGTGCAATGTCTCTCAGCCCCCTATGTCAGGAAATAGCCTGAACTGGGAAATTATTATTCTAGCGGTTTGGGTTTCCTTGGACTTAACACCTGCAAAATAATGTTACCACACCTGATAGAATGAATGGAGTGCAGTGGGTTACAGCTCTGTGCCACAGAGGCTCGTCTGCCAAGTCGATTCATACCAGACTCGATGGAACTGAGGTGAACACAGCAGAAACTGAGAGCTAAAGTATTGTATGTGGCTTAGCTGTATTTACGTGGTTAAGCGGATTGTGCCCACGTGGCCAAAGTAATGAGTCCTCATGGTAAAATGATACATATAACTATTTGGATTTATGATTGAAACTGAAGTTGAATTAGCGGAGCTGCACCTAAAAATCTACATTTTAGGTTTAAAACAATCACTTCTTGTAGGTTTAGAAGTTTGCGCATTTAATATACAGACTATCTTGGATACACAGTCAAAGTCATTTCCTCGAATCCAAACTTCCGTGTAAAGAAGCCAAGCATGAGTGAGAGTTTCATATTAGCAAAATACACTTTGAGTGGATTATCATTTAAAATCAGGGTTGTGAACTTAAGTTAGTGATTAGTCTACGTGACCCTCCACAGTCACAGCACATCTATAGTGTTACAGTTGTGTGCACATGCCGTACAGTATGTGTGTTGTTGCTGCATGCTTGAGCATTAGACAATAGCTCCTGAGCGTTTTGCAGCAGGTGCAGAGGAAGGTTAGCCCGCATTAAAGGTTTCATTTTCCCTCAGAGTGGATGACAGGGTGACAGTGAGTGATGGGCTGCTGGAGGATGCAGGGGTGCATGAGTGAGGTGTGTGTGTTTGTGTGTGTGTGTGTGTGTGGCAGGGGGCTGCAGGCAGGGGGGGTGGTGTCGGGGCTTGGAGGGTGTTAGATGGACAAGGACACCACATCCGTCTCCCGAGCCGGGGACCCTCGTTCGTTCTCATTGTGATGCTGACAATACTTTTTTTACGCCTGGGCCGCAGCCAAGAGGGATAGGTGACTTCATTATTCAGACAGCTGCGGGGTGCAGGGGCTGGTAGGCTTTCTTTCAACAACATCTGATAGAAGCGTTGCAAAAGGCAGCATTTCCATTGTGAGAGCAAACCGATGCTAATTCCAACGGACCCGCCAGGAATGGATACTGTATGCACATATATTCAGAACCGTGAGTGGGCCAGGAGAGCAATCAGTTTATTTATCTGCAGAGAAACTGACAGCAATTACTGCCGTGTTTGGAAGGCACAGAGATCTGGACAGATAGCCAGCTCAATAAGTTTAAAAAAAAAAAAAAAAAGTGCAGAAGTTTTAATGAGCAAAGTTTGAGGGGCAAGCACACAAACCTGTATATAATCATCATGTGGATTTATCTTGTGAAAAGCTGCATGCATCAATGCCGAGCAGATATTATCACTAAAGGTAACGATACAGCTATATTCATCAAAATCATTCACTTCAGAAAAAAAGAAAAGGAAATAAGCTTCTTTCATTTATTTTTTTAAACCTAGAATCAGAATGACCTTTAGGCTTTGTCTACTTGAATCCATAACTGGGGATTATTAAAAAAAAAACTCATATTTCCCTGTGGTCTGGATAACAGAGAGACTTTATGGTTACTGTCAGTGGGTCATTCCCGCACAGATTAATGTCACACAGTTTATGAGCCCTTCTTAAGATAAAATGATAATTTTTCTATACTGTATTTCACCTCTTTATTAGTCCTCATCTGAGCGAGCCGATGTTCACTCTGCTCTGGGTTCACATAACAGGAAGCACTTGTCATATTAAACTCCTTCTCATATTATTGCCTGTTTGATACTGAATCATTTACACAGAATTGGATTATAAAAGAACACTCTATTCTGCAAATATATGTCCTGTAGCAGGAAAACTTTCGATGCTGAAAAGATGTTAAAAGAATGCATAATTCTATTAGTACCTTTAGGGGAAATACACTTATTTTGTGTTTCTTCCTGAAGAAGAGTTAGAAAATAAGATTAATTACACTCTCATGTCGGTGCTTTAAGTGCTCAAGCTAAAGCTGTGAAACAATTACTTTATCCTCACATAACGACTTGTAGAAGCAGTTTGGCTTCTTCCAAGGTTCAAAAATACACCCACCAACACTTCGAAAGCTACGTAAGATTGAATTAACACATCGTATGTGACAGAATTAACACACTGTGTCTCACAGTTTCTCGTTTAGTTATCTGATGAAGGCACAGTGACAACAAGATAAGAGTGTCACAGAGTCAAGAAATAATCTCCACATGTAACCCTCACATTACTATTTGAGTGTAAATGAAACAAGATGCAATGGATTAAGTAATGAGTTTTAGAGGTGCTGGTAGAGGTGTCCAACTTGAGGGATCATATGTTCCATTAATCCTCCTGTTATGTTAGTTTCTCAGGAACAGCAATGATATTTCTGGATCAATTCCACCTGTTTGACGTGGCATGTCTAATTATCCAGTTGTGTCAGAAATCAAAAAATCCCAATAAACATTGTTTATATCTCAATAACAACTCCATTACTAACCATTTCA